ACGTGTGCTGTTGAGTTCTGGTAGGTGCCTTGGGACAGGGCCTCCTCCCTGCCATCCCAAAGCACCTCTCAGAACCTGGCCGTGAGCCCTGCGCATGTTCCTCCCTGCAGCGGTTCTCTGGGGCCCCAGACACAGGAGGGAGCGTGGAGGAAACAGCAGGAGCTGGAGCCCAGAGGCAAATGGATTGTCTTTCTTTTCTCTTCTCTTTTTTTAATCCCCTTTTCCTTTCCTGAAGCCAGAGGAGTGTTTTCACCCTTCCCTGGTTCCCCTTTTGTTCCAGCGTTAATTTGCTTTCCCTCTTCAGATTTATCAATCTAGTCATCACGGGCTCTCTGCCAGGGAAATTAGTTTGGACCAATGCCTGACAAAGTGGCAAGTCAACTGCCATATTCCTCCAGCTGGCTCAGCCCCTCTGAGTTTGCTCCTTTTGTTAGCAGGGAGAGTCGTAGAGCTTGCAAGCACGTTCCTGCCATCCCCACGTGCTCAGAGCTCTGGTGGGAGTGGGACCCAGGGGTGGGACTGGGACCCAGGGGTGGCCCGAGCCACATGGGGTGACAGAGGCGATGGCCAAGTGGTTGGGGAGAGGGAGCCCTGGCCCACCCGGGTCCGGCTCCTGGCTCTGTGTGGGCAGGAGAGGTCCGGGGAGGGCAGGGGGATGTCTCTGGCTCCCTGGGTCCCGTGTGGGCGTTGGGGTGGTGGCTGACGCAGCAGCCCGGGCCAGGGTGCTGGTGGGCACGGGCAAGCTCCCCAGGGCGCAGGCAGCCTTTGAGCGCAGCAGGTAAATGTTCCCTTTGTTCTTTGCCGGCTTTGTGCGTGGTTTGACCTCTCTGCAATGCTGTCAGGGATTGTTGGAAACCTGAGATGAGAAAACACTTCAGAGCAGCCAATCCCTCTGCCAGTGCCAGGGTGGATTCGCAGCGGGTGGGGGGGATCAAGTTTTCCCCGGGAGGAGCTGGTTTTCTTTTGGAGAGGCTGGGCTGGAAAGCCACAGCCCCTTCCCTTGGGAAGTGCTTACCTTGGTGGGGATACGGCCAGGCTGTGGGTCTGTCTATAACTGCAGGCTGAGGAGAGGACGTGCCAGGTCCTTTGCATTTTCTCCTTGCCACTTGCTGGGCAGGGGACAGGTACAGGGGTGCTCTGTGCCTCCACTCCCCCACTGGAAGGAGCAGGGAGAGCTGGTGGTGGTTGGCCTGGCGCTTCGGCAGGGGTGGGAGCGGGAGCCTCTTATCCGGCTGGGGCGGGAAGGGCAGAGCAGGTACCACCATCGGTGCCTTGCAGGGCTTTGCTGACATGATGCAGAGGGCTGAATTCATTTGTGTGAATTTTGCGTCCCCCTTGCTCTCCCCCTGGCTTCGAGTCCGATGTTCAGGGAGAGAGCAAGCAGCATGCTGATGGCCTGCTGCCAGTGCTTGTGGCTCGGCTCTCCTTCTTCCCTGCCAGCCTGCCCGCTGGCTGTGAGAGGCGCAGCCCATGAAGCCAAGATGGGTTTGGGCTGAGCAAAGCCAGCTGGGCTGCAAAAGGACTGACAGTTCGGAGCTCTGCTTGGCCTGAATCCATGGAGGGATTTAGGAGTCGGGTTCCCTCCCATGTGCCTGGGGGAACCTGACAGCCTGGGAGGGTCCCACAGCCCTGGGCAGAGTCCTCCCTTGGCAGCAGCTTGGGAAATCCCAGCAGGGACGCAGAGGCAGGAGGAGGATTTATGCTGAGCGGGTGCGGGTGGGGAGAGTTTATCTCCTCCGCAGAGGCTGCATGCATCTGCAGGATGCTTGGCTGCCCTCCTCTCCGCTGGAGGGGATGGGACCGGGCTCAGCCCTCCCATCCGTGGTGATACCTACTTCCTCTTTCAGGCAGAGATTGTCAAGAGACTGAGTGCCATCTGTGCCCAGATTATACCCTTTCTGACACAGGAGGTAAGGGGGAGGCAGGGGATGTGCACCGGACTGCTCGGGCTTCTCTCGAGGCCCTTGGGAAGGGGTGAACCTGAGTCCTGCCTGAACAACAGGAGATTCGGGGGGGGGAAAACCTCTGTACCTGTGCTGGAGGGACGGGAGAGGGTGCTGCGCAGCCCTGGGCAGCTGGGGCGATGCTGGGCTGTGTGGTCCCTCTGGCCAGGAGCATGGTGTGACCTCCCCGTGCTTTTCCTTCCCAGCACCAGCAGCAGGTCCTGCAGGCTGTGGAGCGGGCCAAGCAGGTGACCATGGGGGAACTGAACAGCATCGTCGGGGTGAGTCCCACTGCCCGGCCGGCGAAGGCTCTTTCCTGGTTGGGGGTTCAGACCATGCAGTCCAGTGATGGGGGAAGCCAGGGTCTTTACTACTTCGATAAGCCCAGGGCTGGTCCCCTGCGGTGAGAGGGTTTGCCACTGTGTCCTGAAGGCGGTGGACGGCCTCTGGGATCCTCCCTGGCCCTCACCGCCCTGAGCAGAGCAGGGCAGAGCCATGGCTTGGGCTCGTCTGCCGTATGTCAGGATCACATCTGCAGCGCAGAGGTACTTGAGGTGCCCTGGGTGGCAGGGGCAGGCAATGTGACCTGGACTGTGCAGCCTCGACAGCTCTGCTCCCCTCCTCGTCCTCGCGTTGTGTCGCATCCCATTGCGCTTTGCATCGCAGTTCATGCAGGAAGCTGAGGGGTGCTGGGCACGGCTGGCTGTGGCTGTCTCCTCCCGGATCGAGGACCATTTGCTCTTTCTCTTTCAGCAGCAGCAGCTTCAGCACCTCTCCCACCACGCATCCCCCATCCCGCTGACACCCCACCCTTCCAGCATGCAGCCTTCTAGCCTGAGTGGGGTCAGCAGCACCTCGGGGCTCCTGGCCCTCTCGGGGGCATTGATGGCACAGTCTCAGCTGGCTGCCAAGGAGGACAGAGTGGCCCAGGATGGGGAGAACAGAGGTAAGGGGAAGAAGCACAGCTGAATTAACCCTTCGAAGGCTGGCTGAGTCAGTGCTGGGCAGATGTCCCACAGGTGCCTGGGCAGCACTGGGAGGGATCCTGCTGCCTGCTCTGCCTGTTTCCCAGGGCTCCTCAATGCCTGGCAGCTGCTCCCTGGGGCCAGGGGGAGCAGCAACCACTGTGAATGACAGATCCAGCTAATTAAATATCTGCAGCCCTCAGAGGCTGGCTCTATTTCTGACCAGGGGAACAACTGCCGTGCAGTGATGGCGTGCGGCGGCGGGGGGGGCAGCTGCGTGTTCACCCCAGATGCTGGGCAGCAGGGCTCTGGGCACGTGTGTGTGCACACATGGGTATTCCTGCTCCCCTGCGTATTTCCAGTGTGTGAGGGTCCCCCTTCCACGAGGTAGCTGGGAGGGTGTGAGATCCCCGCCACAGAGAAACCCTCTATTTACACCAGGGTTTACACCAGGTAAAGATCCGATGCCTGAAGCCGAGACTTTAAAGGAAAATACTGTTGCAAGCCCCTGGTAGAAATTGTGGGAGCCACAGGTCTGTGGCAAGGAATTTAGAAAGCAGAGCCTTAGTGAGTGTGTGGTGCCTTGTAAATAGCAGTAATTCCTCATCCTTATGGGTGCCTCCTCCTATCAGGATCACAAAGTGCTTTACAAACATCATCAATATTTAATCATCATTAAATCAGTGCTCTGAATGCTACTGGCAGGCCTGGGCCAAATTAATAACACCACCCAGCTTTGCTGGTGGCTTGTTGCTATTAAAGTGCTGCATGAAGGAGAAGCTGCTCTGAGCTCAAGTCACCTTCTGCAGAGCGCAGGCATCAGGTGTTTTTGCTGACAGGAAGACCGAGGCATGGACAGAGGGCTCTTGGGCAGCAGGGCAGCTCTATGGGCTAGAAACAGGCAATAAAATTCAGCAGCCGTAGTGAGCTCCTCTGCAAACTCCTCTGGGGAAGGTGCTGGCTGCTCCCAATGTCCCCGATTCAGGGCCTGGAAATGCTGCAGGGACAGGACCCAGCAGTAACAGCAAAACTGGGCAATGGAGGGGTTTGTTGCATTTTCCTAATGATCTGATTTCACTTGTAAGATTTCAAGGTGGTGAAAATAGCAGCAGGAAACTGTCCGAGTCTGCTTTGTGCCCCTGTACGCAGGTGTCTGTGGTTTTAATTCTGTCAGTGTTTCTTTAAGGATGGCCTTCCCCCGAAGGAGAAAAACAAACTCCAGAAAGAAGATAAAAGCAGGCTGTGCTGTGCCTGCCTTAACCCTTAGAGACCCAGGCAGCCTGTGCTTCCAGCAGCAGCTCCTGCCATGCACAGCCCAGAGCTGCTCCTTGGCAGGGGCATCCAGCCATGGCAGAGGGCGCAAAGACACCCAGAATAATTCCTTTTAAAAAAAAATTGTGAAATGCTATATATGGTTTGGGTTAATCCCTGGGGCTCTGCCATAGTTAGCCAGAGCTGGTGTGGATCAAGCTGAGCCAGGGCTGAAGTGCTGATGGCAGGCACCCCGTCCCTCTCCCTCCCTTTTCCCTGGCTTTGTGCTGACCATAGCCTTGGAGCAGCTACCCACATGGAGAGTCCCTCATCTCCTGATACCCGCCTGCCTCCTTTTGCCAGCAGAGACTGGGACGAGCTTGTTCTCCCCAAATGCTGATGTGATCGTTAGGAGTGAAAATCAGCCAAGGAGGGTTGCTAGACCCCAGCCCATAACCCCATGCTTAGATTTGTAGCAAATGCCTGGCACTTATTCCCTGAGCCCAGGGAGGTGGACCTGTTCTGTTGCGCATGTAAAAAAGCCTTGGAGGGTTTCCAAGCAGGGCTTTTTAGCATGGCTTCCTAAGGAAATAGGATGGGTGTGATTCAGGAGGTCTCAGCTGTCCGGCTGGCTCATCCCCTCCTGGCAGCCTTGGACCTGTCACCACATCCAGGGAAGAGATTCCAAAGCTGGAGTGAATTTCTTGAAAGTAGGTGGGTGGATAGAGCAATTCCCCCTGCTTCCCTGAGGAAGACCGATGTGCTCACCTCCTATTAGATATCAGAGGATCCACACTGCAGATGGGCAAAGTGGGAAATTTGGTGTGATTTTTCAGCCCATGTCCTGCTCTCTCCTCCCATGTTGCCCTGCAGTGCCCCCCTTTCCTCCCTACCCGGGTACTTGGGGCACAGCCTCTGCATTAACAGCCTCTTTTTCTCCTCCCCTCTGCCTCACTGACACGGACCTGCCCGGACGCTCTCCCTGCTGCTGCCTGGGCTCCAGAGCGCACGCCGAGCCGGGTAAGTCATGTCGGCATGCCTGGCTCTGGCTGGGCCGGTGGCCTCAGCTGGCCTCAATGCATGGGCAAGTGGACAGGCTTTCCTTCCACCAGGCTCTGCCCGGCAGCCTGCCAGCCCCCAGAGGCACTTG